TAATAAATTTTGCAATGTAATAGATACTGGACAATCAAGGGGGCAAATTTGCTTCATTGGCCTAAGTGTCTGTGCCATCGGATTTGTATCAGAATTCGTATCGATTCACTAATCGGTACGATCCTGGTTCCATTCTCGGTGGTGGTCACTTGGGCTGAGGTTTTCAGAAGTTTAGATACTTCGCCCCTGTTTCATTTAAAGTGGAATTTTTCACTAGGATATAATAAACTGAAATGTCTCTTTGTATCAAATTTGATAAAAATATAAATTTGTCAAATATGAACAATGAAGAGTATTCAGGAATATACAATCCTGTGGAACGCTACTGAAAGTGGAACCTTCATCATTCAGGTGATGAGACAAAGGGAGCGAAACAAGTTGGAATTTATATTCCTGTATTCTTAATCGCTTTAGTGTACAGTCGTGCACTCCCTACTCTGATGATGATGATGAACTTTGAACATCTGCTAATTATAAGACGACATCATCATTGTTTGTAATTTTATTCATTCAAAATTGAATCAAAAACTTCAAGCATCGAACTGCTGTTTCAGCTAAATTCCATGGCACAAAGCCCTACCCCACTTTACAAGTCCGTTACAAGAAAAACTCATGACTCAAGCAGAAAGTTAATGCAGTGTCAAAAGTTTTTGTTTTTTGCCAAAAGTCGTTCATTTGTCAGAGTGTAAAGGATTTCATTTCAATTTGATGGAATGGCAGTCAATTAAGTAAAGCCAATAATTCTTCGCAGTTCATCTTGTATTTGGCAATAACTATTTTATTTTAACAATAAACAATTTCTCAAGACTAAAGTTTAAAGCTAAATAAATTATTAAACGGATGTCTCGGAAGTAAAAGAAAATATTTTTTAGCTTTGTTCTCTTGTTAATTTGGTGACTTGAGGCTTTCACAATAACGTGAGAAAAATGTAAAGCGAAATCTTGTTGATGCAGGTTTCCCTGAACTCAAATGCTGATAGTAAATAATTATTAATTATATTAATTATTAATTGTTTAAGTAAAACTTAAAAGTTGATTTATCAATTAA